CAGAAAGGACTTGTGAAAGAAATGATGACTGCAGTTTTGTTCATTTTATTTAATTTATTCTATACATTTGTTGTTACAAGAATAATCAACTGCAGTTAAGTGGAAACACTATTCCCAATGAAATGTATATTGTGAACTGTCTGTCAAATTCACATATCCACGTTTAGTTACTAGTGTTGGAAATCACCAGTTCACCCAACACTAGTCTCGTCTGAAATCTTTTATTCGTCACAAAGCTCAGAAAAAATCTCAACCCTCACCGAACACGTTGTTTTTCTACTCTGAATTACAGATCATTCCTTATTGTAAATGTATTCTATGTTCACGTGATCAACTTGTCGCTCAAGCTTAGTTACATTAATCTGTTTGGTTGTTGATTACTGTCACGGCCCTTGTCACCATATGAATTTCCTTTTTTGTCACGCACCTATGAGTAGCGCAGCCATGAATCTTTAACACTAGTACGGACGATTTTCATGACGCCGAAATCACCTAGTCTAACCTCCTAATGCTCGGCTGTTCCTGGGGTATTTGTCATCTCTGTTTACAAACTAATATTCTCTAAAAATCCACGAAAGATGAAAGACAGCTCTAGATTTTTAAGATAACAATTCTATTCACCAAATTACTGCATTTTATTAGTATCTATGGCACAAGCTAGCAAATGCTAAAGTGGATTACTAAACTTAAGCATAGCTATGCAACCCTTCATCACGAAAAAATTAAACGCTCTTAATTTAAAATTTACTCTACAAAGAGAGTATATAATACAAATAAACTACTATTTGTAAAAATTAAACCTTGATGGGATAACCAAAGTCTTTATAAAAGGCTACTATCTATTTTTTGTTACCCTCTTGAAAGAAAGATGTTCAGATGAAAATGGTGGTATTAGGTTGTTAAACGTTTTACCCAATTCTAGCTTTTTCACAAAACTACAAAATTACAAACTAAAACCTCGATTCTCGTCTTATGCGGTATATTATTGCAATGGCACATTGCGGCTCACAGCAATTTGACAGATCATGTTAAGTTTTACCTTTTGTTAAGAAACGGTCAATCTTCAAAATGCAAACACTTTGAAGAAAAGGCAAAGTAATGTACACAAGGAAAGTCACATATATGTCTGTTTGACTTCTATCTCAATCTGTATTCAAGCTGTCTGTCTTCACTGGCATATAACACAAGACTGCATCTTTAGTAATTTGTGCTAAATTTTTCCAGTCATTCAAACAGATCTGGTACACCTCTCCAGGTGGAATTCTAATGCCAACATCAACAGGAAATTTATTGACCATAAAATACACCCTCCCTTCTATTTCCACTGCACCAAGATTGTTTGGGGGAATGTGTTTTTGTTCCACAACTGACCAAGTGTCATTTCCATCGTCATACACCTCAACAGAGGCAGGATCCGGAGGAAACAGGCCAGATTGAGAATTACGGGTGTAACCCCCAGCGACATAGAGTCTATTGCTAACCACAAAAAGACCAGAATTACTGTGAGGACAACAGGTCGAGGAAAGTTTTTTCCACTTATTCGTTTTTGGGTCAAAGCAGTGCAATACAGCTGACTTATCTACCCAGACCTGACTAGTCAGTTTAGCACTTACAGCTTGACCTGCAGGTGATGCTGTTGCTGCAAAGATGTTGCTTGAAGAGCGGAGTGACCCAAATTGAGGACTGCCTGAATTTGATTGCATGGCTCGCTCTTCAGCTGTCTTAAGACCGTGAAGCACATATATA